CTCTCTCCCTCTGTCTCTGTTTCTCGCTCTCTCTCTCTCTGATATTACCAAGCTAGCACAAGCCACTCCCTCTTTGCTGAGCCATTGTGATAGCATGTGTGCTTGCGCCCCGGAATCCAATATAACCGTCTAAACTGCCAAACTGATGTAAAGTGTAAGTTGAAATATGTTCTTTCTGTGATTAAAGCTCTACAATAGGTTTTCACCTTACTTAGAAACTGAAGCTACTGCTTAGCAAGGCCTGGGAGGACCTTGCACCCTTGGACTTGCCTGTCTCTTCTCCATCGTGTCTCCGTAGCCTTCTCTCCTCTGCTGGGCCTCACGGGCTTCAGTCAGTTCCCGGGAGACCCTGAGTTCTTCTTGCCCAGGGCATTGAACTTCGATCAGCCCCTGACTCTTCACATTGAGCGCTTGCTGGGTCTAGTTCCTTCCCAGTTTTCATTAAAAAAAACAAACACACACATGTATATATTATTATAGCTATTTCCCATTTCCCACGCTTTGCCCTTCCTTACCCAATCCCTTTCCCTGGTCCCCCAGGATACAGTTTAGAATCACATCCTCAGAAGGTTTTTTTTTCCAGCCACCCTTAATGAAGTAGGTTCTTGCTTATTTCTTTATATACAAAACTATCAGTATTTCATTTATGTATATATTTACTTTCAAAAATATCTACCATGCGGTTGTTAAAAAGAATTTCTTACCCTTTGTGACAGCATGGATGGACCAGGAGAGTACTATGCTGAATGAAATAAGACAGACAGAGAAAGGCAAACATCACATAATCTCACTTATCAGTGGAAGCTCGTGAACATAATACATTGATGTACAAAGTAGGTCCAGAGGCATGGAGGCATGAAACAGACTGACAGGTCTCAGAGAGACCACGCTGGGGGGATGGAAAGAGATGAACCAAAGAACTGTATGCATCTATGCATAACCAATGGACACAGACAATAGTGTGGTGAAGGCCTGTGGTGAGACGGGCTGGGAAGAGGGGAGAAAGGGGGAAATTGGGGGACATCTGTAATACTGTCAATTATAAAATAAAACAATAACCAATAAAAACATTTGTTTTCTCATAGAAATAAATTCTAAGAAGTTGGAAGTTTGATGGTCCTTTCTCTGTTGCATCTCTAATGCTTACTCCAGTGCAATTCTGTTTAGCTTCTCAGGAAATATCTGGCGAATGAATGAGAAAAAGAAGAACAGATTTTTGTCTTAGAAATGTGATCCTATTCACATTGGGATATATTTTTTTTCTCTTATCTTCTTTTACAGCCTTGTCAAGAATTGTTGATTTTTGCTACATGTGAATACCAATAATTGCTTGATAGTAATAATTATTAAGGTTAGAAGTTAGCAGCAAATTACAATTTAGGCAGATGTATGTAATGTGTTTTGTTTTGTTCTTTATATAATAATTGAATTTCTAAAATGCTCTGATCAGCTGCCTTGTTCATTCATTTTGGAAATTGGGTGATTAAGGCTATTTTTTAACATATGAAATTTAAAGTCTTTTTATATCTGCCAAAAGTGGGATGTTTTACTATTTTTACAATTTACTTGGTGAATTTAATAAGATTTTAGGTGATTTGTAAATTATGCATTAAATTTTTAATTTCATTAATGAAAATTTTTATAAAAAGCAGACTTTTGCTGGCACACAGGCATTTTTAAAAAGTTGAAAGGAATCAATTCACTGATCTATGAAGAGATGAATTTTGGTTTCCAATATTCATCATTGACTTGTTGGGACGGTGAAGGTTACTGCATTTATGTGGTTGGTTGTTGATATTTATTTCTATCAACAGATGGCTTAGGTGAAAGAGAACAGGATTACATTTTAAAATTAATGAACTTTATTTTGTAGAACAGTTTTAGGTTCCCAGCAAAACTGAGTGGAAAGTATAGGTTTCCTTTATACCCCTTGTCTCCACCTATGCACAGCCTCCTCTACTACGGACATTCCCTACCAACATGGTACATTAGTTACAACTGATGAACCTACATTGACATGTCATCAAGAGCTCAGTCAGGGTGTTGTACATTCTATGGGCTTGAGTCCATTTATAATGACATGTATCCACCCTTATCGTGTCACACACAATAGTTTCACTCCCCTGACAGTCATCTGTGCTCCGCCTGTTGGTCTCTCACTTCCCAGTAACTCCTGGTAACCACAGCTCTTTTTATTGGCTAGATAGTGTTGACTTTTCCAGAACGTCCAATGGTTGGGATTATACAACATGTAGCATTTTCGGGTTGGCTTCTTTTGCTTGGTAATATGCATTTTAAGTTTCCTTTTTTTTTTTTCATAGCTTCGTAGTTTACTTCTTTTTATTGCCAAATAACATTGCATTGTCTGGATGTAGCAGAGTTTATCCCTTCATCAGCTGACGATGGCGTCCAGGTTTTGGCAATTATAACTAAAGCTGCTATAAATACTCATTTGCAGGTTTTTATGTAGACAGGACATAATTTTTCAGCTCATTTAGGTAAACACTAAGGAGTGCAGTTGTTGGACCTGATGGTTAGAATATGTTTCGTTTTGCCAAGACCGGTTTGGCTCAATGGATAGAGCGTCGGCTTGGGGACTGAAGGGTCCTGGGTTCGATTCCGGTCAAGGGCATGTGCCTTGGTTGCGGGCATATCCATGGTGGGGGTGTGCAAGAGGCAGCTGATCGATGACTCTCTCATCGATGTTTCTAATTCTCTATCTCTCTCCCTTCCTCTCTGTACAAAATCAATAAAAATATATTAAAAAAAGAAAAAGAAAAAAGAACATGTTTTGTTTTGTAAGAAACTGGCAAACTGTCTTCCAAAGTGGCTGTGCCATTTCAGCAATGAATGAAAGTCCCTGTTGGTCACACCCTCTCCAGCTTCCGTGTTATCAGTGCTCTGGATTTTTGTCATTCCCATGCGTGTGCGGTGGTGTGTCCTTGTTGTTTTCGTCTGCATTTCTCTGATGACAGGTGGTGAAGAGCATCTCTTCATATGCCTGTTTGTCACTTGTTTATCTTTTTGGTGAAGTGTCTGTCTGTTAAGGTGTTTGACTCATTTTTGAATCAGTTGTTTGTTTTCTTATCTTTGATTTTTAAGAGTTCTTTCAATATTTTTGATTCTTATCGGATATGTCTTCTGTGAATATTTTCTCCAATTCTGTGGCTTTTCTTTTTATTGTTGTTGTTGTTTCTCTTTGTTTTGTTTTGTTTTTGACAATGCCTCTGACAGAGTGGGAAATACTAATTTCAGTGAGGTCTAGCTTATCAATTCTTTTTTTTATTTTTTTTTTTATGGACTGTGCCTTTGATTTGTATCTGAAGAGTCATCATCAAACCAAGATCATCTATGTTTTCTTCTATGTTATCTTTCAGGAGTTTTATTGTTTTGCATTTTGTGATCCATTTTGAGTTAGTTTTTAAAAAATATATATTTTATTGATTTTTCACAGAGAGGAAGAGATAGAGAGTTAGAAACATCAATGAGAGAGAATCATCAACCAGCTGCCTCTTGCACACCCCCTACTGGGGATGTGCCTGCAACCAAGGTACATGCCCTTGACTGGAATTGAACCCGGTACCTTTCAGTCTGCAGGCCGACGCTCTATCCATTGAGCCAAACCGGTTTCGGCTTTGAGTTAGTTTTTATGAAAGGTGTCAAGTCTATGTCTACCAGTATATTTATTCATTTGTTTTTGTTTGGATGTCCAATTGTTGCAGTGCCATTTGTTTAAAAGATTGTCTTTTCTCCATTGTATGACCTTGCTTCTTGTCAAAGATCATTCGACTATGCTTAGGTGGGTCTGTTTCTGGGTTGCCTATTTTGTTCCATTGTGTTTGTCTATTCTTTTGTAAATATCTCACATTACAGAAAATCTTGAGGTAGGATAATGTCAGTCCTCTAGCTTTGCTTCAACAACCTGTTAGCTATTCTGGTCTTTGCCTCTTCTTATAAAATTTAGAATCAGTTTGTCGACATCCACAAAAATAATTTGCTGGGGCTTTGATTGTGTAGCATTGTGGATGTATAGATCAAGTTGTGAAGAACTGATATCTTGACAATATTGAGTCTTTCTATCCATGAAAATGGTATATCTCTCCTTTTATTTATCTTTTACTTCTTTCTCTAGAGTTTTGAAGTTTTCCTCATGTAGATCTTATATTGGACACTTTTTGTTAGATTTATACCTAAGTATTTCATTTTGGCAGGGAGGGATGCTTATGTAAACAGTATTGTGTTTTTAATTTAAAATTCCACTTACTGCCGAGACCGGTTTGGCTCAATGGATAGAGCGTCGGCTTGGGGACTGAGGGACCCGGGTTCGATTCTGGTCAAGGGCATGTACCTTGGCTGCGGGCATATCCCCAGTAGGGGGTGTGCAAGAGGCAGCTGATCGATGACTCTCTCTCATCGATGTTTCTAGCTCTCTATCTCTTTCCCTTCCTCTCTGTACAAAATCAATAAAATATATTTAAAAAATAAATAAATAAATAAAATAAAATAAAATAAAATTCCACTTACTCATTGCTTGCATATACGAAAGCAATATGCTTTTGTACCTTATCCTCGAATTTTATTGTTCAATCATTTACTTCAGGAGTTGTTGTGTGTGTTTTTTTGTCAATTTTGTTTTGCATATTTTACCTAGACGATCATGCCATATGTGTACAAAGGCAGTTTTATTTTTTCCTTCCAAATTTGTATCTTTTATTTATTTTTCTTGTCTTTACTGCATTAGCTACTAATTATAGTATAGTGTTGAAAAGCATTGATAAAAGGGAATGCCTGGGCCTTATTCTTGATCTTGTCATGTAACTCATGTGTACATTGTTTTGGATTTTAACTACTTATTATCAAGTTAATAGAAGCTTTCCATTATTAAATTTAAAATCCTCTGAATGAAATGCCATTTTAGAAAAAGATTTGGTTCATAATAAAGACTGGTTCATAATAAAGGTTTGGTTCATAATAAAGGAGCCTTTTTTGCTTACCCATAGGGCAAAAGTTGGATTGTTAAAAGAAGTTACGAAGATTTTCGAGTACTTGACAAGCATCTTCATCTGTGTATTTATGACCGAAGGTTCTCCCAGCTCTCAGAGCTTCCCCGTTCTGATGCCCTGAAGGACAGTCCAGAGGTAATTACTCTACATAAATGAGTAGACATTTTTGCTTGCATACCAAATAAAATCTTAGATTGAACACTCAGGGTGATTCCTGGGGTTATTTGTTTCATGACTGAAAAATTAGCAATGCTGGGTAAGATGTTTAGTAAAGTAGGTTCAATGTATAATCTTATAACAAGCAAATAAAAAACCCTCAGATTGCACTATATAAATGAGTAGACCATTCTCCAAAGAGAATATACAATATAGAAGCAAAAATAAGGAAAGAAATTGACTTTAGCAATAATCAAATAAATGCATATTATCTAAAACAATCCTGTTTGCGTAGTTTTTATGACCGGCTATGTCTTTGCATCCGCCTGCACACCTGCCAAGTTTTTCTGATTTAAATTTTAAATAACTATTCCTGATTTAAATAACTTTAAATTTCAGTGAAGATATAAAAGAATGAAATAAATTTTTTTAAAGGGAAGAGATTTTTTTTAATATGACATCAGAAATAAAAAAATGTGAAGAATGTTTGAAAGTACAGAGGATAAGGACTTTGAGGACAAAAATTATAGCATAAAATACATGTGCAAGAAGACAGATAAGCTAGAAACCTTATAGGTAAAAAATAGCGTTAAATTGCGAGCTGCATGATAATAGTTGGTCACCAATGGGCAGCATATGTGACAGAGGTCCCATAAGATTATAATGGAGCTGAAGTTTTCTAAGGCCTCGCGACATAGCTGTCATAACATTAGAATGCAATGCATTACTCACATGTGTGTGGTGATACAGGTGTGAACAAACCTACTGTGCTGCCCGTCACATACAAGTATAGCACCTACATGGCCAGCTGACAGGTCACAGTTCGATTCCTGGTCAGGACATATACCCTGGTTGTAGGCTCGCTCCCCAGTAGGGGGCGTGCAGGAGGCAGCCAATCAATGATTCTCTCTCATCCTTGATATTTCTGTCTCTCTCTCCCCCTCTGCCTTCCTCTCTCTGAAATCAATAAAAAGCCATATAAAAAATAAAAGTATAGCACGTACAGTTATGTACAGTACATAACACTTGATCATGATAATAAAAATGTTGCCGGTTTATGTATTTATCGTAATATGCTTTTTATCGTTGTTTTACAGTGAACTCTTTTTACTTATAAGAAAAGTTTGCTATAAAACAATATGCCGTGTCATCCCGGCAGCAGCCTCACTGGTCTCATATTTATCGTGTCTCTCGATTGCCTCATTTTCTCTTGGGCTTGATTTAATCTCGTGTTGTTGTGTACGTAGCAAGCTGTGCAGGTTTGTAGCCTCAGAGCAATAGGCCGTACCGTCTAGGTTTGTGTAAGTGCACTCTCTGATGAAATCGCCTAAGGATGCGTTTCTCAGAACATGTCCCCATCAGTTAAGAGGTGCATGACTGTCAACAAAATAACTTGAGAGGGGCAGACTGAGGGCTCTGAGGAGCATGATTCTTACACTCAGAGAGAAAGTGAAGCAATCACATTCATGGAATGAGAGAAGAATTTTATCAAAATAAAATAGCTTAGAAATGAACACAGAGTAATCTAACTTAATTTTAATGATAACAAACCTGAATAGCTGAACTACACACAACATTGACACAGATGAAGAGAGAATGAGTGAGCTGAAAGATCAAGCTTGATGAGACTACAGCCCCAAAAGGAATAAAACGTAAGAGAATAGTCAGGAAACTGGAGACTAGATGGAGAAGTCCCTAGTTCCCTCTCATCAGGAGTCAGTAATAAATAATATAAGAAAGTCCCCTAAAGCTAAAAAAGGCATGTTTTCAGATTAAATGGCCCCATTAAGTGCTGATATAATGAGGGAAAAGACACACTTCTAGAAACATGTAGTGAAACTTCAAAATGCAAAGAGAGAGAGAGAGAGAGAGAGAGAGAGAGAGAGAGAGAGAGAGAGAGAGAGAGAGAACACGAACCAGAAAAGCTTCTAGAAGCAAAACACAGATTTTCTCAAAAGAACAAGCCTCTGCGGCTGCAGTGGATGCTTGGAAACACTACCAAACCTCATCCAAGTCCTGAGGGGAAGCCATTTCAATTCTGTAATTAATTCCACAGCAGTTAAGGATGTAGGTAAGGTAGAAACATCATCAGTCACGTGGGAACTGGCCCTACACCAGAGTCTAGGGAACATCTTAGAGCCACTGATTCCTTCGTGTCATTGAAAATCTGGGCGCTTCTCTGTCTCCATTCCCATATCTGTCTGTATGCTATATTTTTCTCTCTCATACTGTCTCTGAACATGGTCACCACCAGTGGGTCCCAGGTTTCTGTCTATGTTAAGACAGCAGCCAGACTGAGCTGAAATTTTGTATCCTAATTCCTGATTCCTTACAGTCACGCTTGCTAGCCCTGTTCATGTGATGTCACATTCCTGGACCAATCAGCTGGCCCACGGCATAGAACCATGTATGAACATGGCTGTCCTGCTATAGCTGGGATATTACAGAGAAAGAGTCTCAGAATAGCTGGGAGAAGCTGGGCAGGAGCCTACTATGACTCTGCTATCATTATTGTTTATATTTTCAATACAAAAAGTTGAAAGAAAAAACAATAAAATTAGAAGCCAAAGTTCTGTGCAATGCAGGGGATTACGATGTATGTGCCTGTGGTTCCAGTTCATGGAACTGTTTCTCTGGGAAGAATCCTCTGTAACTATGGAAATGCCAAGAAATCTGTAGAGCTGCCCTTTCCCTTAAAACAACCAATTTGCAGCAGTTCTTCTGACAGAGAGTAGTATCTGTACTCCGAGTTACCACTGTATCTTCTCTTTCCTTTCAGTCTGTCACTCAGATGCTTATGGCTTACTTGTCCCGGCTTTCAACTATCGCTGGCAACAAGATCAACTGTGGACCTGCCCTCACTTGGATGGAGGTATTATCTAATTCACCTCTCACTAAGGTTTCTTTTTAAATTATCTACTTAAGAAATTTAACAATAGTTTAATTCTGATAACTTTAAATTTAAGGAATCAAAGAAATGGTGTCTGTTCTAGCTTCTGGAAGGATATAGATGTGACACATTCAATATTTTTTTTCATCTGAAATCTTTCTTTGCTAATCCAGGCAACTAATTTTAATACTATTTTGGTGCTTAACATATTAATGTATACGTTTAGAAGGGTGTGTATATATATTTTCAGTTGGTTAGTAATTGAAAATATTTTCCAGTTATTTATGAACAAGTGACAACTAACCTTTTAAAGGATCTGATTTTAAGAAGTCTCGAATGCCTTCTGTTCAAGATGGCAGAGTTGGAAAACTCTGTGGTCACCTTCTCACATAGCCGTAAGAATTACAGCTAAATTCTAGAACTGCCATTTTTGAGAACCACTTGAAGACTAGCTGAAAAAGAATTTCCATAACTAAGGATGTTTAAAAGAAGCCATGTTGAGATGGGTAGGAGGGATGGAGATGTGGAACAGGCAAGTCCGCACCTGTGATGTGGCAATTACAAACTGGGAGGGATATCTCAGCTGAGCAGGTCTCCCCTTAGGAGCAAGTGGTCCTAGCCTTACACTGGACTTGGCAGCCCAAGGTATCAGTGCCTAAGACACTGAAGAAAGAAATTCAAGAAGATAAAAATAATTGGAAGCACATACTATTCTCATGGATAAGAATAATTACCTGTTGTCCACACTACCCAAAGCAATCTGTAGATTCAATGCAATCCCTATCAAAATGCCAATGACACTTTCCATAAAACTAGAAAAAATAACCTTAAAACTTACATGGACCCAGAAAGACCTGGGATAGCCAAAGCAATATTGAGAAAGAATAACAAAGTTGGAGGTATTACAGTACCTGACATCAAATTATACTACAAGGCCATAATAATAGAAGTGGCATTATTATTGGTATAAAGAGAGACACATACATCAGTGGAATAAAATAGAGGTTCTAGAAATAAACCCATGTCTGTGTTGTCAACTAATCATGACAAAGGAGGCAAGAATATACAATGGGCTAAAGACAGTCTCTTCAATAAATGGTACAGGGAAAACTGAGAGATACATGCAAAAAAAGAAAAAAATAAAGAAAGAAAGGATGTCTTTCTTACACCATATGGAAGAATAAACTCAAATGGATTAAACACTTAAATGTAAGACCTCAAAGCATAAAACTAATAGAAGAAAACATAGGCAGTAAACATTTTTGTCATTGCTCTTAGCAATTTTTTTTTTGTGTACTTGAAGGAAATGATAGAAAAAAAAATGGGTCTATATCAAACTAAAAAGTTTTTGCACAGGGAAGGAAGAAATCAACAAAGTGAAAAGACATCCCATTGAATGGGAGAATATATCTGCGAACCACACAACACATTATATCCAAAATATATCAGGAATTCTACAAATTAAACCCCCCACCCCCCCCAAAAAAAACATACAAAAAATGCTCTAATTAAAAATGGGCAGAGGACCTGAATAGACATTTCTCTAAAGACAGACAATGGCCAGTAGACACATGAAAAGATACTCAACATTCCTAATCAGTAGGGAAATTGCAAATTAAAACCATGAGATGTCACCTCACACCTGTGAGATTGGCTACTGTCAATAAATCAAGAAACAACCAGTGTTTGCGAGGATGTTGAGAAAAGGGAACCCCCTGTGCACTGTTGATAGGATTTTAAATTGTTGCAGCCACAATGGAAAACAGTATGGAGGTTCCTCGGAAAGTTAAAAATAGAACCTTGCACTTAAATTAAAAATATGACCTTGCAATTCTTAACACTAATTTTGGGAAAGATATATGCACCCTTATGTTCCTTACAGCAGTATCTATAATAGGTTAGGTCTGGAAGCAACCTAAGTATCTTATTGCTAGTCGAATGGTATGTGTACAGTGGAATGTTACTGACCCATAAAAAGAACAAAATCTCACCATTTGTGACAACATGGATGAACCTAGAATTATTATGGTATGTGAAATAACTAGGTCAGAGAAAGACAAATACATGAATTCCCTTACATGTAGAATCTAAAAAGCAGAATAAACAAAATAGAAAAAAAGAAAAAGTCTTGGGTGATACAATATCTATTACATATCAATAAAATACGTTACATATATTTTCGTAATTTGCATATGCAGAGTTACATTATTCTTCTCCCATTGGAAACTGGAAGGCAGGATGGAAAGTAGAAAGACTGCAGAACTTAGAGCCACATCAGCTTGTATTGAGATGTTGGTGGCTCTTTCACTATTGTCTGGGTGATCTCGGACAAATGATTTAATCTGCTGCAAATTACATGACCTCTTTTAGCTCTAGCATCTTCATCTTTAAATAAGGAGAATGATGATTAACATCTTTTGGAGTTATGAGGATTAAATTAAGTCATAATGTCATATGAATAGCTCAATGACTGTCCTACATTAAGCATTCAGTAAATGATAATATGTTTTCTTCAGAAGATTTTTTGGGTTATAGTTTCCCTAAATCAAGTTGAATGCCAAAGAAACTTTTGCAAGTGTCATGTCTTTAACCATCTCATAGCACTTGTCTCTGTTGTAGATTGATAACAAGGGCAATCACCTTCTGGTCCATGAAGAATCGTCTATCAACACTCCTGCTGTCGGTGCAGCCCATGTTATCAAGAGGTACACTGCTCGGGCCCCCGATGAACTCACCTTAGAGGTAAAACGCCTAAAGTGGCTGCTCTGTGTTAGCTCAGCCTCATCCTTCACCGTGTTAATCATTTTTTTTTTTTTTTTAATGAAAAGCACCAGGTTTTCATACCTCACTATGGTTTTGCTTGGCATGCCATTTATTTTCACTTAAGTGACTGTATTCGTCTTTGAAAATTTCGACTTCCTTGTCTTCAAAGTCATTCCTGCTCTCCTTTCCCTAGTCCACGCAAACACATCTCCACCCAAAGCCTGGATTGAATGCCGTTCTGAACCACTCGCCTGGTTCATCACCGACGTATCACTGAATTCCATCCACTCGTAATTCTTCTTCTGTTGGTCTCTGTTAGCTTCTTGAAAGCCAGGTCTCAGTCTTTTTTTGCTTATTTTATGTTTTCATACCTCAAAAATGATGCCCAATGATACTTCTTTTTTTCTCATTGTTTGTTCAAAGACAGAGCTGCTGGATGGGTGGGAAGGGAAATGAACATTTCCTGCTTTCAAATGCAAAAGGAGGGGAATTCATTCCTTTCTTTAATATTGGCAAATGAGAGATAAAAACCAAAATGCTAACAGTTATTCGGTTGAAGGAAAATCAATCTAAATTTTTACTGTATAGAATTTGAACTGTTCTCAAACTTAATTTTTAGGTTCTATACACCGAGGAATGTAGATCTTGAAAGATGCCAAGTCTGTTAGCAAACGTGGCTTTGGGAAGGTGACTCTTCCCTGACTTATAATATTCATTGTGAAAAATTGCTAAAGCAACATGAGACACCTTAGTCACATTGCTGGGTAGAATCTAAAATTAGTTAACTTTGCTCTGTCACAGAGAGCTTCACTTGCTTTGATTGAAGAATGTAACTTCCGTTAAATAGGGTATTAAAAATGGTTATTGCCTTTTTATATTTATGATTTTGTGCAAGTTTGTGCAAACTCACTAGTTCTATTTTTGTTTGTTTGTTTGTTTGTTTTTAGAGTGAGGGGATAAGCTATTGTACATTCTATGGAAAGAAGTATAGTTGTCATCAAATTTTACTAAGAATAACCCAGGGATTGTAGACATTTTAGGCCTGTCGTAGATGATTAACTAAGACAATGTCAAGTGCTCAGCTCAGTGCCTGGCACGTGGCAAGTGCTTGCTCACTGTGGTGTTAACAGAAGCTGCTGCTGCTATAAATATGAGAATATCTGCCTTTTATAGTGAACAAGAGGCCCGGTGCATGGATTCATGCACTGGTCAGGTTCCTCATCCTGGCCTGTGCCCTCTCACAATTCGGGACCCCTTGGGGGATGTTGGAGAGCCAGTTTCAGCCTGATCCCCACAGACCCCACCAGTGTACAAATCTGGCACTGGGCCTCTAGTATGCATATATAAGATCTGTGGTTAATCTCTTCCTGCCCTCTCCCCTCCCAACTCCTCCTTTCTTCTGCGATTCATCAGTCTGTTCCATGTTTCCATTCCTGTGGTTTCTGTTCCTGTATTGAGCGTCTGCCCCTGATGGTCAGTGTGCATCATAGCTACCGGCTGATCTGCCGGTTGGCCGGTCACTTAGGCTTTTATATATATATATATATACATAGATTTGGTCACTTTCAGAAACAGCAGTAAGAGAGGATTGTAACAGCTAATGGTGTGATGCCCAACCCTTCCAAAATCTTACGCCATCAAGCTGGCTTCCAGCAGTCACTGCTCAGGTGATGCCTGATCCCAGTCTTTGTGCTGCGTTACTTTTTGTAGCCCTCTCCTTAACAGATGGTTAACATTATTATTAACCTCTTTATAAAAAGAGATAGTATGTTTTTTTTTGTGTTTTTTTTTCAGAAAAATTAGCCAGAGAAGAAGATGGTGCTTTGACCCTTGCATTCCAGTTCAGGTTAGATTCGAGTCCTAACAGTTGGTTTAAAAGTTGACTGAATACATTTCCCTTATGTTTTATTCTCCTAGGTGGGCGACATCGTTTCTGTGATCGACATGCCCCCGAAAGTGCTGAGCACGTGGTGGAGAGGCAAGCACGGATTTCAGGTGAGCAGTGGAGAATCAGGTGTGGAAAAGGCAAAAGAGCAGTTTTTCTTGGTTCTTGGGTAATATTTTGCTTTACAGCATGGACTGGCAGTAGACTTTGCCATCAGAGTTCTGCATGCAGTGGCTGAATGTTCCCCACCTCTGGACCCTTGACTCTAATCGGGGCTGCTTAGTCACATGGTCTGAAGAGCATTGAGCGTGATTCCTACATTGACTCTCCTCTTATTGATCTTCTCCACCTCACTTTCCTACTCTAGAGAAGAAACATCTTTTCTTTGCAGTCCACAGGAGTGTTACAAAGATTAAGCAACCGTGGGCTGCAAAACATTCAGGCTGCTGGTGGAAACTTCGCTGTTACCACGGGTTACATTTTTACATGATGACTAGTACCTTGTTTCTGGAAAAAATCCTCTTCAGGTTACTTGTGACAGTGTTTACTCCTGTTAGGTAAAATTTTGAGCATATGCTGATCTCGTCTCAGATATTCTGTTGAGAGAGGGAGAGGGAGATAGTCGTAATTTACTCCACGTACTCACTTCCCATGTGTTCTGGTCAATAGGTCCTGGGACTTCAATTGAAACTCTATAACAAAGCTTGTTTTACCACAGGCTAATTTGTTATGAACAGTTATATTCCTACGGCATCTCATCAACTTTATAACGAAATGAAATGACATTGAATGAAACCATGTTGTTCCAGGACCTCGGTATATGATAATCATAGATTAGATCCTTTTTCTATCCTGAGTTTTAAATTTGAAATAACTGGAATAATGGCTTAGTCCACTGGTTTTCATAATTAAAAAACAACAACAACAACAATGGAACTTTTAATCAAACAGAACTTACATTGAACCTCACTGTGAAAACATGTAACTTACATTGAACTTCACTGTGAGAACACGTAATGGGGGAGTTGTCCTGGTTAGTTTGGTCAGGCACTCTGGGCCTTATGCCCCATGGAACATGCCTGATTGATCTCTCTTAGACCTCCTGCGACACCCCAAAGGGGCCTCTGTGGAGCGTATACAGGTAACACTGCTGGAAAACCACTAGTTTAGGTTACTAGTACTCCTTATATTTTTGTGGTAGATATATTATGTCAAAGGCTATTTTATAATTTGAACTTTTAAAAACCAGTTAAGCCCACCTGATGTGGGTAAGTGGTTGAGCACTGACCCATGCACCAAGAGGTAGCTAGTTCGATTCCCAGTCAGGGCACGTGCCAGGTTCAGATTGTGGGCTTTGCAGAAGGCAGTCAATCAATTTTGTTGTTCATTGGTGTTTCTATCTAGCTCTCTTAAAACCAATAAAAACATTGCTTTTTATAAAGCCAGTTAAAGGTTTCTTTCTATTTCTTCTTCTCATTACAGCAGCTCTTTTAACATTTCTTGCAGTTCTGGCTTGAGGGTGATATCAACTCCTTTAGCTTTTTTTTTCTTCTTTTTTTTCTTTTTTTTCTTTCTTGGAAAGCTCTTTATTTCACTACCTATTTTGAATGATAGCCTTGCTGGATATGGTAATCTTGATTTCATATCCTTGCTTTTCATTACCTTGAGTACTTCTTGCCATTCCCTTCTGGCCTATAGAATTTCTGATGAGAAATCAGCTGACAGCCTTAAGGGGCTCCTTTGTAGGAAACAAATTGCTTTTCTCTTGTTGACTTTAAGATTCTCTCTTTGTCTTTAATTTTTGGCATTTTTATTATTATGTATCTGGGCATGGGCCTGTTTGTGTTCTTCTTGTTTGGGACTTTCTGTGCCTCCTGAATTTGTGTGACTTTTTTCTTCACCATGTTAGGGAAGTTTTCTGCCATTATTTCTTCAAACATGTTCTCTATCCCTTGTTCACTTTCTTCCCCTTCTTTCACACCTATTGTGAGAATATTGTTATGTTTCATGTTGTCCCACAGCTCCCTTAAGCTGTCTTCCTGTTTTTTAATAGTTTTTTTATTTTTTATTTTTATTTGGTTCTCTGAGTGATTTTTTTCAACCTTGGGTTCTAATTTACTGATTTGATTCTCAGCTTCCCCTAATCTGCTGTGTATTTCTTCCAATGTGTTTTTTTTTATTAGAGCTGTATAATTCTTTATTTCAGACTGTTCCTTTTTCATAGTAACTGTATGATTTCTCATACTATTGAGCATCTTTACCATCATTATTCTGAATTGAATTCTATATCAGATAAACTTGTTATCTCCATTTCATTCATCTCTTCTTCTGGAGAATTATCTTCTTTCATTTGGGGGTTGTTTTTTGGTCTCCCCATTTTGGATGCCTGTTTCAGTTTGTGTCTATGTAATAGGTAGATCTATTATGCCTCCCAATTTCTAGCGAAAGACAGCTGTTTCTGACTAATTAGATCTGGCAAAGACTCAAAGCTTCCAGAGACCTGCCTCTGCCTGCAGATTGATTGGATTTAGTCTTGAGTAGCTCTCAGGCAATCATCCACAGGTGTGGCTAGAAGGTTCCCAATAGGTTGGGTCAGCTGTCTTCCTCCCAAGCAAAAATCTCCTGGATAGCAAATATCTGCCTGGAAAGATGACCTCTACTTTGTGAGGGAATGACTCAGCACAGGAAACTTGGGTGCCTACCTTATAAGATCTAAACCTAGAGTCCCCAACTCTGGCTTCTGTTCACATATCTCCATCAATTCTGCCCTCCCTCTGCCACAGCCCAAGGCTATACACAAAATTTTGTGTGTTGGCCCTTTAAGAGGGTGATTGCATATCCAGCCATCTATCCCTGACAGACAGTAACCCTGCAGCATTTCATAGTCAGATGTTATGTGGCACCTTTCTCAGTTCTGGTTCTCTTTGCTGGGGGCCCGGTTTGGGGATTAGATCCCAGAGTTCTCAGTGGCAACCCCTACATTTGAGAAAGTTCTTCAGAACTTCAATTACTGTCTGTGGGAGCCAGGTCAGCTCTTTTGTGCCTCCTCTCTTCCTGTTAGTCTCTATGAAGTCTCTACTTTCCATCCTTGGTTATCAAGGTTCTCTTCAGCTAGTCTTCAGCTGATTATTCAGGATAAAAATGCCAAAAACAAAACAAAAGAAACACCACCACCAACAACAAAAAAATGCAGTTAACATGCTAAAGGGATTATTAGATAAACTTGTTCTTTATATAAGGACATTTTTTATGTGACTCCTTTTAGAAAGGTGAATTTGACTTTTTAAAAATTTCTATAATGTAAATTGTTGGAATTCCTGATGTTTCATATATTCTGATGTATTGTAGATTCAGAATGCGAATAATCATCATCTTTTATTTTTGTGAGATTGCTTTGTTTCTAAGGTTCATCTACTTGCTAGGACTACCATAATCACTAACTACACACGGAGTGACTTAAACAACAGAAGTTTACTTTCTCAGCCTCTGGAGGCTGGAAGTCCAAGGTCAGGGTTATTGTCAGCCCAGTTTCTTCTGAACCCCCACTGCTTGACTTTCAGGTGGTCCCTTTTTGCTGTCCTCACATGCATTTTTTTCCCCTCTGTGTCCACTCATTTTCAGTGTCTTAGTCCCTGTATCCTAATTTCATCTTAGAAGGACAGCAGACAGATTAGAATGGACACATCTAAATGACCTAATTTAACTTTAATTGCCTTTTTAAAGACCCTACCTTTGAATATATTTTGAGATACTAGGCAGGGGCTGGGACTTCAAAATGCCAAGAGGTTTCAGCCAGTCATGAATGGCGAGGTGGTTGAGGTCTCCTTTGGGGCTGGTGTGAAGGCGGTCAGGGACTCTGACGCAGACTTGATAAGCAGCAGGGCCCTCCCTGAGCCAGGCTGGCCCTAGGCCGAGGGTGGGCAGAGCATGGGGGCATTGGCCATGACTGCAGACTAGAATGTTACAAAGATTAAGCAACTGTGGACTTGGCCCCCCTGCTGTTCCAGGCATGGAGGAGGCCGAGCAGAGCAGCGTCTCAGAAGTTGCCCTCCTCAAGCTCACAGGCTGGTGTCAGGCCTTTGTTTCATTCATGACAGAGGTCTTCATGGCGCTGGGCACTGTTCCCTGAAGCAGTCCAAAGGGACAGGCAGGCCCTGGTACTCAAAGAAGAGTGGAGGCTTAGAGCCCAGAAAGCTCCCTGTAAGGTCCTCGAAGGAAGTGGCTTTTGAGTGCTGAGTCTTGTGTACGTCTTCTGAGGACACAATGTCCACATGCCCCAGGTGGACTGGCCAGACATAGAATAGCCCTTGGGATTGGATGGCCAGCTTGACTGGGCTCTGTGAAGTAGATCAAAGAGGAAGCACAGGGACAGGAAGCCTGTCTTTCCTAATAGTGCGGGAGGAGACAGGGCTTGGATTGGCCTAGAGGTGGCATGGCCGGTGGTCTTCCTAAGGATGGAGACCAGTGAGAGCAGACCACTCTGCTAGGATGTGACCGCCGCTTCCCAGGTGGAGGCGACTGAGGTGTGCTGCTCTCACTGCGCGCTGTCGACATGCAGGTCCTAGGTGTCCCCACCCGCAGGTCCGCCCCAGCTGATGTGCTCTGACATTTCACATGGACTCTACTTGGTCTTTTGTCTCAGTCACGTGGTTGCTTATTTCCTTTCAGGCCTCCTGTCAGGGCATGACTATGTGTGGCAACTGATGCCGTACCATCGCTGTGTTGTGACTTTATTTTACTATTATTTTACAAAACAAATAATAGACTTAGATTTAGTACAAATTTACACAGTAATCGAGTAGATAGTACCCAGTGTCATATAATACCACACGTACACAGTTTTTTCTGTTACTAACATCTTGCTTTATGTTTCACTGAACACAATGCCCTATGTGCCACTTACTCTCCTCCTGACCCTGAAAACCACTGGTCAGTTACTGTCTGCATGGCTTTGCCTTTTGTAAAACATCATGTGGTTGGAATTCTACAGTATGTTGCTTTTTCAAACCTAGCAAAATGAATTTAAGCTTTATTCATATCTTTTTATGGTTTGCCAATCTCTTTTTAAAATATGATTGATTGATTGATTGATTTAAGAGAGAGAGAGGGA